TTTTTGAACCCAGAAATATCTAAATAAAACAGTCCCTTTTTGTATTGCGATTGCTCGAGAAATCCCTATACAAAAACTATTGTTTTGTCGCTTTCCAAAGGATGGTTCAGTGGTTGATCTTGCTAGTGCAAAGGCTAGATCAACAAGGCCCTTCATTGTATCCTATGGGCATTTTGGGTTACTCCTTTTGCATACCAGATATGGTGGGGGCGAAATTAGTGGCATTTGTAGCACGCTTTGAAGCCAATGATCTGATGATCTATTTTCTAACCCCCTATTTTTCCTACACTTACTATGTATAAATGCACAGTTAGTGTTGAGAATCAATTTTTTGATATCAAGTTGCAGCACTCTGCTTTTATAGTGATGTTCGTTTTATCTCAATCGGCAAAACAATAATTTATTAATGGAAATAAAAGAGTAATGGTTCCAGTTTACAAAAGCTTCAATTTCAAACCGAAAATACAAGAGGAAAGTTTTGTTAAGAGTTATTAGTTGTCTGTTGACCTAAAAGTAGATAGATATTTATTATTATTATTATTATTATTATTATTATTATTATTATTATTATTTATTTTAATTAATTATCTTATAAAAAAAAGTAAAGTTATGTAAAAATATCAGTTTAACTGAATAAACCAAAGTAAAAAAAAAAAAAACATTAATTTGATTTAAAATTTCAATTACCTTAATTAAAACCGAGTTACACTTAATATTAGAAATAAAATGAAAAAGTAAACTAATTCAACAAAGATTGATATGTTAATGATTTGTATGAATTGGTACACCAGTGTTCTATTTTTTTCATTGTATATATGTCAACAAAAACTTAAAAGAATCAAAAACTTAAAGTTGATATACTGGTAATTTGTATCTATTGATTCTTTTCTTTTTATTCTTCTTTTCTCATTAAAAAAAAAAAGAATCAAGATTTAAGATCTAAATAGTAGATAGAATATCTCTAGGTTTAACAGATGAAATTGAAGAAATTTGTGAGGATAACTAAATTAAACCAAACAAATTCCATCTAATAGTAGATTTGCTTAATTGCAAGCTTATTTCTTAGCAATCACAGGGTTTGACAAGAATTTCTTGAAAGTAGAATATAATTTAAATTAATCAGGTAAAAATAAATCTGAGTATAAAAGAGTTTAATAATTTAGTAAAGAACAATTTAAAAATAAAAGAATCTAAGAAAGGATATTGAAGATGAGGTCATGCGTTAAAAAAAAAAAATAGATGTCTTTCATTTAATATGTAATTTAACAGTAACATAAGCACACAAAATCATGATCGCAGATCGAGCATACCTGCAAGTTCAATGGAAAAAATTGAAGAGAGTAGACACTGATAATCAAATTAGTTACACCAGGCAGATTAGAAGCAGGAGCAGAAGTACGCCTTCAATTGCAAGCCAAAGTAGACACTGATAATCAAATTAGTTATGCCAAGCAGATTAGAAGCAGAAGCAGAACTACTCCCACAATGGAAAGCGAAATTGTATCGTGATAATAAGAAAAGGTGAGCCGGCAAAGGAGAAGCGCAAACTTATAAAAGTGATTTAGCTGGATATTTCTTGGAAGGTGTTGGTTATATGGAAGTGAAATGAATATATGCAAAATGATACAAGAGTGCAAGGGTATTACAGTAAAGTCATCAATACCATAACATTAAAAAGAAGGTTAAATGCTAAATTTAGTCCCTCAACTTTACGAAATGCACATTTTTAGTTGCTCAACAATTTTTTGCAATTTTTTGATCCTTCAACTTTAAAAATTGCATAGTTTTGGTCCCTCCGTCAGCTAAGTATGATGTGACAGTTAAATAATTTCATGTGGCATTGTCTTTTAATTTTTTTGATGATGTGGCAATAATATATATTATAATTATGTTATATAAATGAATAAAAATGCCTCGTAGATTAATATTTATATTTTAATTAAAAACAAATAAAATTACCTTATTACCCTTACCTTCCCAATCCCTCTTCTTCCCCTTCTTTCTTTCTCTTTCTTTCTTTCCTACCCTGGGTCGGTGGAAATAGGCTGGGTTCTGATGAACCCAACCTTACTGGTTTTGTTGAAGGCTGGGTTCGTCGAAACCCAAATCTGCTAGGTTCTGATGAACCCAGCCTTGTTGGTCGTGCGAACCAGCCTTGTTGGTTTCGTCAAAACCTAGCCTTGCTAGGTTCGTTGAAACCTAGCCTTGCTGGGTTCGTCGAAACCCAGACTGGCTAGGTTTCGATGAACCCAGCCTTGCTGCTCTCGCAAACTAGCCATGCTGTTTCAACGCTGGGTTCATGTTTTTTCATTCTTCTTTCGATTTCCATTCCCAATTGTTAATAAATTTGGGAGTTGATTCACAATTTGATTGCATTTTTGTTGGAATTTGATTAGAGTTTGATTGTATTTTTGTTGAAATTTGATTAGAGCTTGATTGATATGGTTTATTGAAGGGTTAATTTGATTTGATAAGATTTGCTAGGTTGAGGTTTCAATGAAACCTAGTAGCTGGGTTCAATGACAAAGAATTCGGTTTTGTAGATGGAGTGGAGATGAGAGAGCATTCAAAGAAGAAGAAGAAATGGGTTAAGATTGATTTTGCAGATGGAGTAGAGATGAGAGAGCATTTAGAGAATAAGAAGATATGAGTTAGATTGATTTTGCAAAGAGTGAAGATGAGAGACCATTCTAGGGTTCACAGACCTTTCTTTATTGGTGGTTTGCAGGCAACGTGAGACCCATTGGAGGGGCTTTGATGTGGGAAGATGACATGTCATCAAAACAAGTCCAAATCAACACCTTTTTAAGTTGTTCTCGCCTTGTCATAAAAAAAATATATAAAAAATGCCATGTCATCGAGTTAACGGCCCAAATTGACAGAAGGACTAATGGAATGCATTTCATATAGTTTAGGGATCAAAAAAGTGCAAAAAATTATTGAGGGACCAAAAATGTGCAACTCACTAAAGTTGAGGGACCAAATTTAGCATTTAACCTAAAAAGAAAGTTTACAATTTGAAAAAAGAAAAAAGCATTAAAAATTGAAAAAATAAAAGAAAGAATTAGTGGAAGACTACGTCAAAAAAAAGAGCGATTAAAAAGGAGTGTGGGAACAAGGGAAGAGACCGGAGCTTTCAAAGCCTTATTCCCTCCTTCTGCCCTTCCGTGTTTCTCTTTTGGAAAAGTTTCTCAACCTTGTTTGTGTTCCCATCTAATCTAGTTTTCCCTTGTTCATTTTTCTATGTATTTTCTGCTTTGGATTAAGATCTGAAAAACGCCTTTTGACGCAACCAAAGAAAAGAGGAAAAAAGTGACGTGGGATTATTTTAATTTTCACACTTTTCATTTTCATTACTTAACGATTAAAATATCAATTTAGGCGGTTAATTT